AGGTAGGGGGCTCAGGGTCAGCAATTTTGTACATAAGAATATTAATACAATATGTTTAAAATTATGGGAAGGAGTGGGGGGAGTAAATGATTTTGTACATGACATGAGGGGGTGGGGTGTCATTTACTTTGTATATAGATTTTAGGGGGGTTATTCACATAGTACAATATGCTTCTATACTGGAAAAATAAGTTAGGGATATTGTTATTTTTATGATTGATATTTTATCAGTGTGACAATAAATAAATAGATAATTGTTCATAATTTCAAAAATGTGCATATATCCCTAACTATTTTTGTCCAGTATATATAAAAATCTTCATAACCACCCTAGCCATAATAAATTATGGACGGTCCCTAAATTTTCTGCGTTCTGAAGCCCAAAAGTATTGATATTTATTATCATGTTGTCAGGAAGTCTCGTTCAAGTAAACCTTGATGATTTTGTCTTTAACACTGCCATCGAATATATGGATTTTTGCTTTTACTGTATTAATGTTTAGTTTACAGGATTTGCAATAATCACCGAAAATATTTAGTGAATGCTGTAGGTTCCGTGGCACATGTTGCCATAAAAACAGAAGCATCAGCATACAATAAAACAAACATGACAACTGCAACATCGAACAAAAGGTTAAGAGGTATAGGAATATACACGTATAAGAACATTTTTGCAGCCATAGTCGGCCAATAAGAATTCAATATCATTGAGGTAGACCGAAAATATAACCGGCGACAGAATTTCCCCTTGACTAACTCCCATGTTATGTTATAGTTGTATTGGAGATTTGTTTGCATGGATGTATATAACCACGATTTGTCCAGAGCTTACAGTTCTTGAAGGTAGCCATTGCCGATACTACTTTTTCTGCTACAATTGGCGTCTCACATTTATGCGGATGACACAAAATGATGTTCCACCAAATCTGGTGGTTATGTAACCCCATTTCTATACTCGCACAAAATCATGCGCGAACCAGTGCGTGAGGCTGATAACCTTCCTAATGTATTTGATAGTCTGCTCACCAATGTAGGGCCGCCACTCGGTCAAATCCACACTATTCTGGGTAAACTGACCCTCCAGAATCTGTCATCAAATTTGTTTTGTCCACTAAACTGTCCACTTACTTACACTTACACTTACCTACCCCTTCATCTTCCCCATTTACAATAATTAGGCTATTATTTCTACACAGCTCATGATTATTTACATTTCCAACGTCCTCTGAGAATCATGCTGTGTCAATATTACATGTATTCATTATTTAATAGTAATGTATTTCTTCAAGAACATCTGTGAGCTTAGAGAGTGTGTTTGACATCTGAAGGATGTTAAAGTCAGCAAGACATAGAATTTCAAGATCCATGGAAAGTTGATTTAAGGCTGATTCCAAATGGGTAAACATATTGTTATGGTAGCAGGGGATTACTAAGCTTGGATATACAGCACCATCAAGGTCGTCTTTTTCAGTAATATTTCACATCAAACTTTCAAATGATGTAAGCATGAACTTCACATATCTGTTGAATGCATTTCTTATAATGATTATTCCATCTGATCTTGTTCTTGTCTTTCTATTCCCGATGGATGAGAGGGAAACATCAGTTGGCTAAGCCTCCAATGACACCTCTACAAGTAAGTGCTGCCTCTTGTGGGGTTGTTTTTTTTCAGGTTGAGTGGGAGCTAAGTGAAGGGGGGAGTTCCTGTGGGTCCTGAGAGGGGAGAAATCATCTCGTTTTTCGTAAGTAGTAGATGGGGTGTCATAGTAGGTTTAATTACAAGAAAATAATGACTCGTTTTAGGTAATAAAAAAAATGCGCCTCTTGCTACCTCTGTTGCGCTGCGAGTAGTACGCATGCCTGCATTCCCAATTCTTCACAAATGGTGTCTATTGTTAAGACCAGAAATATAGATATATATTTAAGATCCCTCCAGAAATTGTAGTGAATCTTGTCAGTGAAGCGCAGCTGCCTGTGTCACTATCATTTGATCCAGAACAATATCTTCTCGATTACCAGGTAACAGCTTCATTTTCACAGCTGAAGCTAATGCCATATTAACAGCTCTTAATTATATTAATAAAAAAAGTAAAAATAACAATACATACTATTTTCAGACTCTCTTTCATGTCTTCAGGCTATTGAAAAATTGTCTTCTCAACATCCAACTCCGTGACAACAGCGAACTCACATGGGATGTGTGTCATTGTTTACATTTCGCCCATGTATAGACGACACTCCTGTCTCGAAACTGCTTAAATAAAGTTTTACGATAAAATGTTGAGAAAAAAGTCTAGCCACCCGTTCTCTGATTCTGAATCAGATAAGAACAGCGTAAGTTAGTCAACTGTCGGTTTAACCAAAGTGGTTCGATTAAAATGTTTCATTATTCAGCTTGTTCCATTTTTGAGAGGATCTGAAACTTGTCCATGCTTCGAAGCCCTCTATCCAAAAAAAGGGTTACTGATAGTAGCATAATTTAGTATAATCTCTGAAATATGACCATTGTAGAGGAAGCATTATTGGTAATAAATGATATCCATTATGTATGGGGCAAATCCTAGCACTTTTAGAATAAGCTTTGTAAACTATTTAAGTAAAGCATCTAAAACCTTCTCAAAATCAATCAACATTACGATTCCTTCTTCATTTGTGTTTTTTTTCTAACACACAATAAGCTGATTTATCGCTAATACATCGATCTGCAATGAATCTATTTTGTTTCTCTGGAATGCGTACAATTTAATCTATTTGTTACAAAATAAGATAAGAACGGGATGGGGTGACACTTTGTAAATTTATTTACTATCTTGTCTCAACGACAACAACAACAACAATAACAGCCCTCCCTTTTGCATTGTTCATTGTCAAAACATCAGCTGATTGTTGTCAAAGAATATATCTAGATGTCCATTTACTCGTCATTCCCAAAAGACCATTGAAGAATTCTATTGAAAATACGTCTGTATTAAAATTATCATTTGTTTTCAATGACCTCATGAATGTTTTATTTTAAATTTCAACTGACTATGGATTGATGAGCCAGTAAACTTTCTATTTTCTAAGTGACAAAAACACATTTTTCCTTCTTCGTGTCGTGTAATTCTATTTGTATCCTCCCTTGTTTATTCTTCTCGTATTTTCTCACACGCCTCTTTGTGTGCTAAACGTTTTGCCGAACGCGATTCATCTATATTTTGTATATTGTAACTTATTGATCATGCCAAATTTTGTCATTTACTACCAACGAAAGGTCAAATGTTAAAGTTTTTAAGATTTTAGCATTAGAAGGGCCATTGTAAATATCTTGTGAATAAATATGAAAACTTCTAATCTTGCTTATTGTCTGGGGATTTCCCCCCAATTATGTAAATCTTTTAGATTTACCATTTGACTCTCGCCATGCGTCAACTAAATTGTAACTGTCAACATTTTCTGTCAATAACTGCAACTTTAAAATTGTTGATATATTGGTAGATAGTTATACAACAGGAGGGTTCATTATCAAATTTCAGTCGCCAGTAATACCAAAGATTCATTGTCGAATGCACCGCGTGTTTGGAAATATGCATTGTGTAAAGGCAATCTGATTCTATCAATAGTGGTGGCAACACCACAATAAGTACCTTTTTCATTCTTAAAAATAGATATTTCCTCTTCCTTATTACTCTTGAACAATGGCACTACATTTGAATGTAGTCAAATGCATATGAATGTCGTCAAATAATTGAAGCTTTTCGTTTTCGTAATGTATTTATTATATCTTCTCTTGTGTTTATAGCGGCTATGAACATCTAAGTATTAGAAATAGTTTTTATTTCATTTCCGCTACCAAAGCTGTACATAAAATTGTAAAAGAATGTATTTGATTTTAGTAGAACGTTTAAGTTTGTGTGTACAAATTCTAGATTAGTTTTTATCAATCCTGATCTTTTTCGCATGTTTAGTTAAAAATATGTCAACTACGCAGACAGCAGAATCATATTCACAATTTAAAACTGATTCCTAACGTGCACTCCTTGGCATCTTGAAATATATACATGGAACCTAATTAAGCACCCTAATATTTCATCATAGTGGTGTAGCTATCGATGATGATATGTCAATAATGTCATTGTTTGATCATTGCAGTTTTAAGGTAATGAAAAACAAGGTGTCAGTTTGAATTGGTTTCCAAATCGCAGCCAACGTGCATGTGAGGCATGCTGCCCACTCATATTATAAAAAGCAGTATCTCTGCTTCATGGGTGTAAAACTTGTGAATATGCCATCCGTTTCATCAATACATGTTAACATGGCAAGGAGACTGTCACTGGATCTGACATGGCATGTAATTCAAGGCCATCGGGCGTCAGCTAAGTTATTGCCAGCCTGTCATACAAATTAACATTCTGCCTACATACTACGTCATCCAAGTTTATGTTTAGTCGTAATTCCAATATGACTCCAACGCCCTCGATGACAGTGCCAAAGAAACCAATTCTCTTAGTATACTAAGATGTGATTTGTGGCCACATCATGACTCTCTCTCACTCATCCAACACAGCAAAAGTTTGTTCAACTCATGCCTTGCACAAATGTAAACAAAATCAAAGGTTAAGCTTATGTATGAATTACTTTGTATTTGTACTCTGGGACACGCGGTCTCTCTCTCTCTCTCTCTCTCTCTCTCTCTCTCTCTCTCACATAACAAGGCGAATGTAAAAAACTCCAACAAAACGAATGTGTAATGTAGGCTTGCAGCACCATTTGCACATTAATGATTCACAGCTCCCGAAAGAAGGGTACCCCCTGACAGGATTCTGATTACACGGCTTTGACCTTGGCCTGTTGGTAGCAGCCTTTTATGGTACTTTTGCAATAGTAATGTTCTAGAAACATTGGCAATGTTTTCATGCTTTTATAAATATTCCTAATTTGTTAAATTTCAATTTCATGAATTAAAATTTTCACCTATTAAACTTTTGTCAGAGTTATGATAATTTACACAACCAATCATGTGAATGAAAAATGCATAATTGTATTGTCCAAGAAACATTTAAATCACTGACATAAACAGTATCATACATTACATTCATCTATGCAATTGATGTCAGTAATTACGTAAATGTAATTGATATAAATAGTGCAGATAAATTTCATGTATATATCACATGAAACTATCGAATTTGAACAGCCACCGGCCCAAATTTCCTGTAAGTTTCAGCTTTCTTGAAACACCTTTGATCAGACAAAACATATCCGACATGAAACATTATTCACACAGTTGAAATATCTACAGAATGGAAAGTATGAGTCATTAATACACATGATTTTGATGATTTGGATGTATCAGTACAGTCAATCTGATCAGACAGTTCTGATATTTGACAGGAAACATTATTCACACAGTTGAAATATCTACTGAAAGGAAAGTATTAGTCATTAGTACACATGATTTGGATGTATCAGTACAGTCAATCTGATCAGACAGTTCTGATATTTGACAGGAAATATTATTTACACTATGCTATGTATGCCATAGATATGGTAAGCTTTTACTACCGCAGTGTACAATCCGAAAGTATGAGGTCATCAGAATACTTTTCTGAACTGAACAACAGCATTAGTCATCATCACTGGAGTCAATGTCTGTATTTCTGTTATCTGCATCGGCATCTGACACCTTTCGATTTTGACAGTTAAAGTATCCAAACAAATCTGTGCAGCCAACACCATTCTTTTGGCATGAACACTTAGAAGAACTGCATGAGCTCTTGCTGCATTTGCAATTGATACTGTTGAGAATGTCATCATGAGCCATAGGCATCGTGTTCCACTTGATCCCTTAACCTTTCTCGCTTTGTTTCCAACCATTGTCAAGTGGAGAGGGTGCTGAAATATGCTGTAGAAGACAGCTTCTGAAGACCTTTGCCTGGTAATTTGCCCTGGTGATGTGCAGCTTCAAACTGTCACTGTTTGGTGGCATTGCGTTATCTGTGACATTGCCAAACCGTAGAAAATTATATCTGACATCATTCACGCTGACACATTCTTTCAAGCCGTATAAGTCACATACAAACTGCTCCAGTTGCTGATGTAGGGTGCTTGAGACATTCCACTCTTGACCGAGTTCAGTGAACACTGATATGTAGTGTGAATTAGTCAACAGGAGCTTTAGAGCTTTTGCCTTTCCCTTTCCACGAAAGGCACTGACACTGTCACATCCTGTGAATGTATGGAGACCAATCAAGGCCTCTCCTGTGTCCCCCAAAACCTCATTCATGGCTGTCATGTCAACATATCTCGAATTTCCAGGAGATAGCAGCTGCATAATAAGGCGAGATGAGATCATTCATGAAACCCACACTGCTAGAATGAACACATCTGTAACAACTGATCGAATGATAATTTAAGGGTTTTCTGTACTTGATGTTCATGCATGCAATGCATGCAAGAACATACGCGTGTCTGCTTCCTCTTGGTCACAGAGAAGCTCAGGAATATCTTCTACATTGAGAGAGTCTCCTTCTGTTCGAGATATTTTGCAGCAGAAATCCCCTTGAGTGGCATAAATCTCAATTCCAGATAGGTCACAATCAATTTCTTTCCATTCATTAACAAGGAATAACAGCAGACCTTCTTTGATATCACCATTGGCAAGGTATTTCTTGAACTGTTTTGGCATCTTCTGGTCTTTCCTGTTAATGCGAACCTTGGTTTCACCTAGGTTTGCTCTTTTCGATCTCTCAAATTGTTTGATGGAATTTGCTTGGTATCGGTCAGCAACAAAGTCCACTCTTTTGGCTTTGTGTTTGAGTCCCATAGAAACTCGTTTCTTCAAAATGATGCATGCAAAGTCTCCAAAGGTCTCTGGGATTTGACGTTGTTGCTGAATAAGCGCCATTCCGTCAACAATAAGTACAGTGTTAGATGGGATGTTTTCTTTTGGCAGAGGACCAGAAGGCATGAGCTTCTCTACCTGATTCACGAGTGTTGCCTTGTTGGTCTTCACCAGAGAACCATCAGGATTTGCAAGAGATGGGGGTACTGACGACAGCTGATACCTCATTACTTGCTGGAGGTCTAGACCTTTCTCTTGTGCAATTATTACCATTCTTGTAAGTAGTTGGCGTCTCTCTTTCATCAATGAAGATTCATTTCCCTTTGATTTCTCTCTCCTACTAAGATCTGAAAAGGTTTTGCTGGTTGGAAGTGTAAGCTTGTCAAAGACATCCTTTGTCCCTTCAACCAATCGCTGACTCACAAAATCTTTAAAACATTCTTCACCCCGTGTGTAAGCTGTTGACAAATCTGATGTTACTGTCTCTGGTGCAACCTTTCCTGAGCATATGTTCACCAGCTCTTTCTCCTCTTCAATGTTGAAAGGATTGGCAAAGCATGTGACAGTGGTCATAACATCTTGAACAGATTGTTCATCAGTTTTTATTCTTGATGAGCTTAGTTCCTTGCTAACAGATGCACTGTCAGGGTCAGAGATTGACATGGAATAGCAAGCATTAGCAATGCCAGCTCGAGCAGGGTGACTAAGAATCCATCTTCTGACGGCTCCTTTGTTCAAGGTAATACCTGTAAGGCCTCCCCTTGTCTTCGAGTCACGGTTGAAGGTTTGTTCAATAATTTGATCACAAGCTGTCATGGAAAAGGCAGGGCTATTGGGTCTCTGTACAGCAAATTCACCATCAGCCAATCCGTCATGAACAAAGGGATGTGTGTTTTGAAGTGCTTTCATCTCCATGTAGTAACAGGGAAGGTACCTTGAGTAATTGATCCTGCCATATGCAAAGAACCAAGGAATCATGGCGCGAACAGATGACAAGTGAAGTTCTCAATTACCCTCTCTGGTTCCTCTCAGGAAGAGCAAAAGAAGATCAACCATATCCAGGTAGGATGACCAGAAAGCATACATGACTTGAATATGCTGCTGGAACGTCTTTAGAAGCTGAGCTGAACTCTCTGAATTAAGAGTTTCCGAAAACTGGGATGGAAAACTGTTATAGATATCTTTCATTGCTTTCACTGCTTTGTCATACTCTGGCGCCTCAAGCTGATCAACATACTCTTGAATTCTCAGACGATGAAGAGCTTCACTGATTACTTTATGACAACGCAAACTGCGGTTATAATAATGCCCACTCATCATTAACTCCTTTAATGGATCCCTCAGCAATGAGTCCAGACTCAATAGCGATATCTGTTAATCCGTAATTTTCAAAACGCTTTCCAATTGCACCAAGAAATGCCATTGTTGTATGAAACTCCCCTAAGCGAAGAACCAGCCGATTTCTGAATTCTGATCAACCTTGCCACCTGATTTCCTGAGCTTTGGCGTAGATGGCTTGATCCATGACAACAGCAACACATTGAAGATTCAATTTATCAGCTATGGAAAGACTTCTTTCAAGAATAGCATTCACAGTAGACTTATCAGTTGGACTTGCGTCGATGACTGGCAGATGCCCTATTTTGCTGGGTGCTTTGGCATCTGACTGGAGAAGTTGATTGCAACCAGTCCATCCTGGAAGTGGATCATCAGTCTGAAAGATAAAAAACAGTTAGTTTGGTTGTGTAGTGAGTTTGAGTTTAATTTTGAAAGCACATTTGCAAGTGATTGTTGCCAAATTATATCCAATACCTCAACATAAAAGTATACCGTAATCAACATCCCCCAATTAGAAATTACTGTATTACATTTAACTGCATATCAATACATTTCTGTTTAATCAGAGATATATTGTTACCCTTGAACATAAAACACTGTTTGCTCCATATTGTCAATACCATAAGCTCTTGAAACAAACCTGGATGAACTTTGCGAAGTGGAGTGATTGGTCAATTGACTTGAAAGGTTCTTGTACTTCTGGCCTGCCTTCCAGTTCTTGGTTTTGTCCTGCATAAGGATGAATTCTATTATTTCCTAAGAACTACTTTTTGCCTCATACAGACAGAGATAACTAGATATGTTAATTACTTGTAAATACTGATTTTCCTCTTATACTTAAAATTGAATCTGGCACATTGAAAGGTACTCATGAAATCCATGATTCTGAATTAGTACAGTTAGTATAGTATCATTATGATCAGATATCTTTATATATCTTTATGATATATGTTTGGCAAAAACAGTGGTTGTTATTAGCTAATAGTAATAACTGTTAGCTCAATGTACCTTTAAATTGAACTGGGCCTGTTCGCTTAGAACCATAGTATTGGCTTATCTCCTCCAAGTGTGAATCGATGGTTCTTTTTCTATCCCTCTGGACTGATGATGTCTCCATTGAAACAGCTGTGACATCAGTTTCAGAACGCTGAATAATGACTCCTTTTGTGTTGTGAGCTGTCCCTTTTCCTTTGAAATAAACAATAATATTCATTAAGACCTCATGTTCAAAGTATATGTACTTTTTTTTTGCTTTATCCATAATTTCTGTGACAATTTAAAATAACAACATTAATTACTTGCATATGTTAATTTACGATTGAATATCATAAACTGTCATTAATATTATAATACACATATACAGGTTTTCTGCTGTAAGTGCCCATGCTCAAAGAGGTACATTTACATGAAAATGAGAGAACAAAGAGAAAGGTAATGAGTTGAATATCAGAGGAGAGACAGAGAACAGTTGCAAGGTATCAGGCAAGGATATTTGAATATGAAATGGAGTTTAAATAAAATATAAAAAATAATGACATGGAAAATTAAGAATCTGAAAAGTTAATTACATCATTGGTAAGAGAATGTAATATGATTACAGATATCATTACTAACTATTAAGGAGACACACAACACCAAATCATTAGAAGGAAGCATAAAAATGATATCAAAGTATTATTCTACTCATGCATGTACTTTGGGAATGGAAATGTATAATTATACCTGAATCAGCTTGGTGATATCCTGTTCAAATGAAAAATAGGTACAAATGTCATTCAAATAATCAAACATAATCAAACCAAAAACAAAATAGCATATAAAAAAACATAACAAATTAATATTATCGATGAACAATCAAAACATATGAATATCAAATCAGTGTTCAATTAGAAGATAAATAGTTTGGTTTGTTCTATTTCCGGGATTCGTTGGAATTCCACATAAGCAAATTTAGTTTAAAACCGACGGTGTACACATGATATATATAAAACATATATTTTAGTATAGTATATCATGATATTATCATTCAGTGTTAGATCAGATGTAATAATGTTGAAAGCTGGGTTTCTTTAGAAAAATTTGATAATGAAGTACTTTCATGATGTAAATTGTGACAAGTTTACAACAGAGATAGTGAAAAATAATCAATGTAGGTAGACTGACTGACTGACTGAGTTTGGTTTTACGCCGCTTTTAGCAATATTCCAGCAACATCACGGCGGGGGACACCAGAAATGGGCTTCACACATTGTACCCATGTGGGGATTCGAACCCGGGTCTTCGGCGTGACGAGCCAACGCTTTAACCACTAGGCTACCCCACCGCCCCCAATGTAGGTAGAAATGGATTCAACACTGAGTACTTCTTTAATATAAATAATAATCGAACTTTCACATAATGAAGTGTAACTCAATAAAATAAAATTAGAAATATAAACAAAATTTTCAAAATGTTATTAAAAGGATACAAACTTGAAATTAAATCCAAAATGTAGATGTTGAGAATAATTTTATCCATCAAAATAAATTTACCTGATAGCGTCTCTTCCCCAAAATCGTTGTTGTCACAAACAAGAGTTGTGAACACATTAGAGTGAAATCCTCGAGGAACCTCAGTACCACGTTGTAGCTTGTGTTGCCAGAGCTGTGTCATGTTCCAGCGTGACCGAGTGCGAAACACAATGTCCAAAAGAGTTAAGCAAATGATGTAGTTTTGCAGATCCTGTTAAATGACGAATTGTCATCCCTAAAGCAAGATGTTTAGGCATTAGTTTTCTCCCTTTACTGGAAAGTGAAATGATATCCTGCGCAATCGAAAGAACCTTCTGCATATCATCGTCTTTCACGTGTACTCTTTCTTTGCTGAAAGTGTCACTAAGTCCACAACACCAGGCAATAAAATTATGCAAAATTGGTGAAATAACATCAACACAATCACTGACTGACAAGTTTTCTGCATTAGGAGGCCAAACTGTCATTCCTTGGGTTTCACCAATGGCAGATCTCACTATAAGTGCAGCTCTGTATAACTGAGCAAATGAATCCCGATCATCGACTTTATCACCAGTATGAATTTCCTCTAGTTCTGTTTCCATCTCTGATAAACAATCAGTCTCTGACTCTGAATCAAGAGTACTAGTGTTGATGAGGAAAGCTAGGTCATCTTCATTTTGGTGAAACACAATTTCATATGATGTTGAAGTTGGTTGAAAGAATTGTAGCTGAGGATATCTTTTCATAAGACGATTTTTGAGTTGGAAATTTCTGTAGTTATCAATATAAACTGCATCTCTGTCCATTACAGTTTTGATGTATAACTTAGTTAATGTACTGATCTTCATCACTTCCCCACCTGAGATGATTCTACGTTGAATCACATCTCTACAGAAAATATCAAATGAGTTGTTATCACAGTCAACCTTAGCCACCTTGTAAAAAAACATTTTGTGTATTGTTTATAACAAGAAGGGTGGTACCTCACTTCTATAGAGACTGTATCAGAATTTTCAACCTGTAACAATAGTCTCTCATCATTTTGACGCCTTGCTGCTTCAAGAAGTTTTTCAGCATTTGTCTCACATGTAATAAGTCTCTCAATTTGCCTTTTATGGTCCCTGTCTTTTGTATACTTTACTTTTCTGCAAATGAGACACTGTTGGGGCAATACATGAATCGATCTTCTTTTACTAGAAGGATGGGATTCGTAATCAGATCTCAAGATTGGTTTACGTTTTTAGCAGGAGCATCTATCCTACTTTTACGCCAACAACCCTAGTCTTTCCGTTTCAAAGCCCTCTCAATGCGAGTCTTGTCCGTAAACTTTTGGTAACATTTTAGATGGAACTTGGCTGTGCTTTTAGACACTGTGGGGACTTTCTCAGCTATAGATCTTTCAATACCATCTAGTTCTTTCCATATTTCAACACCGTCACTCACTTTTGACCATGTTATATCCGTAAATGGACGTAAATCGCTGATTTCATTGTCAATAACGTGACACAAACATTCCACAGCCATGGCCGCGGCCATGTTGTAGTACCGCACAAATAGCTGTTCCTGAATTCTGATTGGTCAATAATACGTTGCCACCATGTTTATTCACTGCATTGGAATTTTCTATTCTGAGGCTTCTAATTAATTAATGTGCACGTGATTTAACAAGAAAAGTTTTTTTAATAGGCTTTATAAATAATAAAATTAAAACCCTAACTGATATGTTGAAGGACTTTGACACAATTTTGGGGTTCGGCCCACGGCCTAAGAATATCCGACAGCATTCAACACTGTTTAACCCATCAAACATTTCACTATAGAAAGGACGTGGCATGGTATGATAAATGCCCCCTGTAAATTGAAATAAAACCGTAAATTGTAATACTTGCAGTAAATTGTAATAACCCTTGACGTAAATTGTAATAAAAACGCAAATTGTAATAAAATTTGACGTAAATTGTAATTATTTTAGCTGCGGTAAAATGTAATAAATATGTACGTAAATTGTAATAACAGTTTTAATCATTCGTAAATACGCGTGTGTTCGTTTTTCTTTGCATTCCATACATCATATAAGCTTGTTAGAACGATAACTCCAGAAAGAAATGATTGATTTTATTCAAATTTGGTACCAAGGTGTATTGGCGAGATTCACTGACACCAGTTGTATTTAGTGACCTTGAGGTCATTTTAAACGTCACAACGAAGATGTTACGATTTTGCACATGCCAAGCTTGGAAGCCGAGAAAGAATTATTATATTTTGTTCCAATTTTATTGTATTGGCGGGATTCCCCCTACACCGATTGATTGAGGAGCTTGTGCTAATTTTAAGTTTATTGTTTTGCACATGTCTAACATTTTAGAGCGAAAACACAAGAAAGAATTTAAATATTTTGCTTAAAAGTAGTACCAAGGGTTGTAGGGAGTATCGTCTAACGCCAGTCTAATTCAATAATTATCCAATAGCTTTCAATAATTTCATGTTAATTTTATTGCATTTTGAAGATCTTCATGGCATATCCAAAAATAACAGGATATTTTGTGCTACGCTTTGAAAAGTATGTTTATTCTTTTTCACGTTTGAATTATTTTCAATGTTGATGCAAGGACATATGTGAAGTTAATTTGCTGTTTTGATCATATGTGATTTATTATGATTTATGTTTCGATCATACATTTGTATATTGCGTTGTCACAGTTTAACCTGGTTCGCATTATTTTCTTCATCACATTACTATTTTTTTGAGAGGGAATTTTATGTTATATTTGCTAAGGATATCATGAATCGCTGGCACCTGGTTATTCCTTGACACATAGCAGTCAATCTGTCTACTCATTTGTTGTATTTGATTGATGCATTTAAAGTATAATGTAGAAATACTGTCGAATTGTATCATTTGCTTCAAGGAATCGATCATATGTGCTCGTTATCAAAGTAAAGTAAAACCTTCTATTAGGTATACAATGTAAGTCTACACCTTAATTGTTATGGGTATACTAAAGAAACCATTAGTTTCACAGCGCAAAATGCAAGAAACAAATTAACGGGTGACATTAACTTCAAAAAAGGATAATAACAATGATTATAACCTACGAGGGCAAACATATCGGGGGGTCATTTGTTTTCATACGAGTGAGTGAGTTAAAATTTAAATTCACATCCGCAGTATTTCAGCCATATCGTGACTGTTTTCATACTACATGCACCGGGTACATGACATTATGAACAATGTTATGACGTCACGCTGCTACTAAGAAGCCGCCTTCTAAATACGTGACGTGGAGCCTGCCTTTGTTGGAAAGTAGATTACGGCGTTTTTTCATCATTTAAAGACTTCGGTAATAACTAGAAAATTATATTCGTGCCCCTATCATACTATGTTAACGGCCTAAATATCTGATCTGGTTCAGAAAATACCTAAATATAGGCTGTTGTGTCGTAAGCAAGATATGACAAGGGCACTCATATCTATCTTCTATAAAGTAGGCTATATTCCAATCATGAAAAACGTCAAATAATGTCTTATAAAAGTTAACAACGTCCCAATAGTGTCCATGGAAACGAACATCACATTTTTCTTCGAAATGAAATGAAACAAAAATACACAATCTCACTGCTTGTTTGATAAATGACAAATGTTCATTCAATCATATCAAAAGGTTTTCAGGCTTGAAGGACGAAGCTCATTCAAAAACCCATAGCCTTTTAGTGGCTGATAAAAGGTTCGAAAATGTGTGTCATAAACACATGATAGTTTTTATTGTTATGTGTTAGATATACCCGATAGAACACTCACCCAACCCCCTCCACCCTCCTCTTCATGTTTTTAAGTTTGTTTGTTTGAACATGTTTTATTCATATTCAGTCCCGCTCCACTCCCCCGCCAACTTCATGAAAACATACACGTAATGGTCAATGAACCAGGCATATTTTACAGTAAAATTGAAATGCTTACGACGCACAATGAATTTATGGACTTGACTAAAATATTTTCATTTATAGTTTGTGGCAGACTAAGGCTGACGTACAGAATGCTGTTAATATCTAACCTAACTTTTAAAATTTCAAAGTCTTGTATCAAATCAACCGGCAGCTGACATACTTTGGACATTTTAGAAACAAATGATTGGCACCTTCCACAAGAGCCCCACATATACAAGCTTTACTTTCAGATAAATTGACACGAAAAAGATCAGCATTTATAGAGCTACATGAATGTCTTAACTTAGTGTGTAGAATATTGATCTTCCTTTCACCAAATAGGAAATATTTAAGAATTATATCAATTTTTTAAAGATAATTTAATATAAATGATGGAAATGAATTTGTATATTTTATTTTGGAGGAGAGATTATTCCATAAACAAGAACAATAATAGATATATGACTTTTGGAGAACTGTGGTTCAAAACTTTAGAATAGCCAAATTAGACTAGTTACGCAAATTGTATTGAGAAATAGTTTCAGTAGATGGGTGTAAGTTTATAAGATAATCAGGAGCTTGCATGTTAACAATTTTGTAAAATGTACAAAGTTTCCTATGTTTACGACTTACTTTTAGAGGTAACCAACCAGTTTCACTGTACCAACTAGCTCTTGAAGTGAATTTTGGCAGACCGGTTACAATTGTTGCTGCTTCAAGCTAAACCATTTGAAGTCTATCACAAATATCTGTGGGACAATTATCCCAGACATCGGAAGCATCTTCTAAGATTTGTCTAGCATACTTTTCGTACATGCTTGATGGAATAATCCCAGGTAGGGCGTACTGTAACGCCCGTAATGAGGAAACTGTTTTTGAGGCCTTTTCTATTACAGCAGTTACATGATGAGACCACCTTGTATTGGCCGATAAGTTAACATCAAGATGTTTCTGTTGATGTTCACATTCCAAATATTCATTGTTGAAGATCAAGTCAGGAACTTATGGACAATTTCCATGGTTGAAAAGCATATTTTTTGTCTTATTAGGGTTAAAATTAACTAACCACTTTTCTGCCCATTTATTCAATTGGGCTAAATCATAGACGAAGGTAACTTCTATCGAGTTTACGTCTTTTCCTGCAACACCGATTGGTGTTTCATCGGCAAACATTATTGTGATATCTTTTTTAACATTTTCAGGTAAATCATTGATATATACAAGGAACAAAAAGGCACCAAGGGCAGATCCTTGAGTAACTCCTACAGTTACATTTAGTTCTTTTGATAATGTTCCATTAGCAGTCACACACTGTCGTCTATCAGATAGATAGTTAGTTAACCAACGAAGTACGTTTCCACGAACACCATAATTTTCTAATTTGTGCAATAAACCTTATGACAAACCCTGCCAAAAGATTTGAAATGTCACAAAATACCATACAGTAAAGGATGCGATTATCTAGGGCTGAGCATATATTATGATACATTTCTATGAGTTGAGATGTAGTAGATTGATTAGCTGTAAAATCTGACTGGAATGTATTTATAATGCTATGTTCATGGAAATGGTTATGCAGATGTTTTACCATTACCCTTTCAAGAATTTTCCTGAGGATAGATAATAAGCTAATAGGTCTGTGATAGGAGGGATTAATCTCCTTTTTTAAAAAATAAGAGTAACATTACCCGTTTTCCACAATGTAGGAAATATACAGTCACTCATTGATATATTATACAACACACAAATAGGTTCAGTTTAGATGTACAAATTTGTTTTACCATTCTCATGTTAATGCCATCAGGTCCATTAGATTTGTTTGCAGGTATGGTCTTAATCATATCAGATACCTCATAAGCTTATATGATGTATGAAATGCAACGAAAAACGATGCAAAGGTGAAAATAAATATAACCCTTGATGGTTTTTGGCAACATTAAATGCCCCAGAGGAAAATTAACCGCTGCTGTCCTATTTCATAGACAAAAACTGTGATACTAAGATACTTGTACTGATCAACAAGTTCAATTTCCTTATTATCAGTCAGAACTGAAGGTAAAGATTGCTTCACACGAATTTAGGTGACACCCCAACCCACCTGTCTCGGCGGAGAGGGGGCACAGGCAAGCTGGTAAGACAAATCTATAGACATTACGTACGCCAACCAGTCAGTACCACAAACACAGGTATACCTTACCCCTCAGAGGCAGTATCACTAACTTCCCAACCCCCATCACGGCTCTCAGTCTCCGTACACCCACGTCACCCCGGGCCCAGGCATGTCGGCCATCATGGCGAAACTTGACAAGATGGACATGAATTTGGCTAAACTGGATAAAATTGAGATTGATATCGCCTCTATTAAATCCAGTGTAGCTTCAATGAAGCTGAAAGTGAAAGAAGTGAAGAGGTGAGGTGAGTTGATAAACTTGAAGATAGCATTACCTTTGTTAGTGCGAGCTATGACACTTGGGCAAGTGAAAAACATCAAATTGATGAGGATATTAAGCAACTGAAAGATCAGATATTATCTCATGCTGAAACCCAGGTATG